CCCCCACAGGATGACAACAAAGATGGGCTAACCCACCTTTGTTTAGCAACCAGCTGGGTTTGGAGCCAGATAAGGCTTTGACATGAACAGCTTAAAGCCTAAAATTCTATGATTCTATGGTTTTATGACATAAACAGCTTGAAGAAGTAAGTTCTTTAAGGTCAGAAGAGATGCAAACTGCATTCAACAGAGCACTAAACCAAATACTGTCCCTGCTTTCAGTATTGTACCTTTTGTAGTTAAGGGAGGAGGATAGGTAATAGTCACTGATGCAACAGGAGAGAAAAAAACAGCTTTTTTTTCTTTTTCTACCTATAACAGTTGATGAATCTGAACTTCTCACTGTGCCAGATGGATGGAAAGAGCCAGCCTTTACAAGAGAGGATAATCCCAAAGGGCTGCTGGAAGAAAGCAGTTTTGCGACGTTGTTCCCGAAATACAGAGAAGCATACTTGAAAGAGTGCTGGCCACTCGTCCAGAAAGCCTTGGGTGAACATGTATGAATTCCTTTTCATTGTGATGATGATCTTTGAGGACGTACAGATTTTACTGAAGCTTATATAGACAGTGCCAGTTACTTTTCTCATGCTGTGTTTCTGCTGTGCATGCATTTAGAGTTAGCAGTGTCATTTTTTTATTGCCATCCAAACCGGTGAAGAGCTGTGTAGCCAGACTTGCAGTTCTTTAGAGCTGCTGTCAGCAAAGCTCTCTGCAGCAGCAGATATCTCCTCATATTTGAAAGCGTGCTGGAGTGGACGATGTGTGAGCCGCACTCCGCGCCCCATACGTCAGGACGGTGCGGCCGCTGTCAGCAAAGCTCTCTGCAGCAGCAAATGTCTCCCTATCCAGGCACTGACAACTTTGTGGCACTTGAATTCAGAGAGATGAGGGAGGTGGTGCTCTTGGCCTCGTGACACTTAGATTTAGTCTACTTTTTGTGTGTGTGAATTTCCTGAAGCTAAAGGTCACCTAAGGATTTCTGGAGAATAGATCTCCATTCAGTCTGTGGTATTCTGTTATCTGCTCACTGCTATGGCTGAATGATGAGGTCCTCATTTAGAGACTGATTCTCTGGTTCTTTTCAAACATTGCAGTATGTGAATGCGGCGCTGGATCTGATTGAAGGCAGCATGACTGTCACTACCACTAAGAAGACTTTTGATCCATATGCAATCATCAGGGCTAGAGATTTAATAAAACTTCTGGCAAGAAGCGTTCCCTTTGAGCAGGTCTGTATTAAACTCTGTAAGTTTCTATTTCTGTTCTGTCTTACATCCTATCATAATGCTTACAAAATAGTATGTTCCAAAATGTAGGGTTTTCAAGGGAGTCCAGTAAAGTAATATGTATATTAAAGTAAATCTATCTGAAAGCAAAGTGAGAAGAATAAACCGAAGTATTCTCTTGGCTCTTATGAATAATCCCTTTGCATTCAGATTGTATTGCCTGCACCTTGTCTTTTCAGGCGGTTCGTATCCTTCAGGACGACGTTGCATGTGACATTATTAAGATAGGCTCTCTGGTGAGGAAGAGAGAGACTTTCATCAAGAGAAGAGCACGTCTTCTTGGGCCAAAAGGATCCACTTTAAAGGTATTTCCTATAGGTGTAGTAACCAGACAATTCATAGCCCCAGAGTTGTTGCACGTCCTCAGTTTATACTGATTTCATTTCTTTTTTTTGGTCTAGGCCCTGGAACTGTTAACAAACTGTTACATAATGGTGCAAGGCAACACAGTTTCTGCTCTTGGACCCTTCAGTGGGCTAAAAGAGGTAAGGGGAGGTGGATGAGCTGTTTGTGTAGCAAACACAAACTTCTGTGCCCGACTCGAGGGCACATAAGAGGCAAAGTCTGGCGACCTCAGGAGTATTTCACTTCCTTGTCAGCTATGTGTTAGTGAGCTACATTTCCCTGAATGTTTGTAGCCTTACAATCTTAGCTGCTGAATTGTGTTTAGACTCTTGATATCTTTCTGTCTTGGATGAAAAAGTGTTTGTATGTGTTTTAATAACTATGTTGGAGAAGAATGCTTGTCAAAAGCAAGTTCCTCATGACACCATACGATCCATGGTAACCTGAAATGAATGTTACCTGCTGGAGTAGGTAATATTATGACAATATGATTGATATTTCTGAAGTGCTGTGCCTTCCAGTTAACCCTGTGTGTGAGCTTTCTAAAGGCTGGACTCTATGATCTTGAAGGTCTTGTCCAACTTTACTGTTTCTATGATTTGAAATGATACTACTTTGGGGAGGCAGAGGCAGGGAGAGGAAGGAAGATAATATACCTGGTATTTGAATTGATTACAATATGCAACATTGTTCTTTTTCTTTTGTATTAAATACAGGTGAGAAAAGTTGTTCTGGACACAATGAAGAATATACATCCCATATATAATATCAAGGTTAGCATGGTCCACTCTTCATCTTTGTTTACAAGGGAATACTATTTCTTCCCAGACAGTTGTATGTTAACATGTTTCTGTGTGATAATCTATTTTTGAGAGTTTCTGTTGTTTGCTGTTTTAAAAAAACCACTGACTTTGATATCCTACATTTTACTATGTATTGCTGTAATAGTGGCATAGTATTGCCATAATACTATTAACAGTATTGGAGAAAACATTGAAGGAAAAGAATGTATAAACTTTCCTCCCTTTGATTGTTTGCATGACGCTTGCCCATTTAAAATGCGGCACCTTCACCAGGGCATTCTGTCCCCGTTTTGAGACATGTATCTTTCTGGTTCTGCTGTTCATAATAATAATAAACCCCTCTGGCCTTACTGAGGTGGGAGATGGAAGGTTTGGATATAGCATATTCACTGAAAGAAAGTCTAGCAAAACTTGCATTTTAAATCTCTTGGCTACTACTGTAATACTGTTTTTTTTAATAATTTCTTTGTGACATTCTGAAACTACTGAAGACTTTGATGATCAAAAGGGAATTAGCAAAAGATCCTGAACTGAGGACACAAAGTTGGGAAAGATTTTTGCCTAAGTTCAAGCGGAAGAACTTGAAAAAACGCAAGGAGCCCAAGAAGAAAAATACTAAGAAGGAGTACACACCATTCCCACCTCCACAGCCAGAAAGTCAGGTCAGCTGAAACTTTCTTTGGTTATGCAGGAATAGAACAAGACTTGAAATTGTGTTCTTTCTAAAAAGTGGTTGGGAGGCTTTGTCTGTCAAGTTCTGATATCCTGATGCTATACATCTGGCTTATGATGCATAATTACCTAAGGCTTCTTGGTGCTTGTCTTACACAGATTGATAAAGAATTGGCAAGTGGTGAATACTTCTTGAAAGAAAGACAGAAGAAGCGAAAGCAAATGGAAGAGAGAAAGGTAAAGTTGTATGAACCCACTGTCCAGTTAAAAAGCATTTGATTACTGACTTGGAATTTGATTATTTTTATGTCCTTTTTGCCCTGCTTTACTGCTACTTGACCTTTTTATTGGTAACTTTAGGCAAAGCAAGCAGATGCAGTCAAGAGAAGACAAGAAGAAAGAAATAAAGCTTTTATCCCACCAAAGGAAAAGCCAGTTGTGAAAACAAACAAAGGTAACCATTTTGTTTTTTCCTGTTGTAGAACCTTGTGTTGTTGATTCCTAGGCTGACTGATTTTGCAGATACAGCCTAGGAAAAAAGAAAGGTCAAAACATGTCCTGGTGGTAAGATCCATGCTTAGAGTTGCCAGGGACAGTAGAAAGGTCATGCAGCCAATAATTCAATACCTACAAAATGACAGTTCTCTGTAGTATGGTCAATCTCAACTGATTGTTTTGGCTCCATCAAGTTTTGGTTTTCAATCTTAGAGTGAAGCTGCCATAACTTCCACATCCAAGTGGCTTTTCTAAAAAGAAACCCGAAAACAATACTTAGTTGAAAACTTACAGCACAACGAAGTATTGGTACAAGATAGGGTAAATAGCTTTTCTAAAACTTTAAGTGAAACCACACTATATGCAGAGTAAGAGCTTATGTTCTCAGTTAATTTTTTAATGCACTAGAGAAAAGGCCCTTCAGTTTTCTGGATTCTTTGATTATGCTGCATATTCATTCATTGTATTAGATCTGCTATATATGTTTTGTATTAGCTATACTACCTGCCTGTTAATACACTATATATTACACAATTTCTTAGGAACTTAAAAGCTCCTGTTGCTTGAAAATCATGTGTTCTGCAGCATGGAAACAGTAAATTTTTGTGATGGCAGTAAATTGTCAATGATCCTGTTATTCACTGTACTGTCTCTCAAGTAGGGTGCTTTTCTAGCTGCTGTGTGCTTTGACCTGAAATCCTTCAGTCTTCCAAAAATAAATGACAGCAGTAGTTTGTATGTAGAGAAGAACTGAGATCCAAAGCAGTCAGCTGGTACACACTGTTAGATGTGGGAATTCAGTGTGTGAGATAAGAGAGTTAGATCCAAACTCATGACTTGTGCTCAGAAAAGAAAAACACCATAACCAAGCTGTACATAGGAGCAAGTTACTCGTGTTGCTCAGCATTAAGAATTTCACTTTAGTATTCTGGTACTCCCTGGAGAAGTCCCTTACCTTATAAAAGTCTTCATGCAGGGGTCAAAGACCTGCATCATATTCCCCCAGCCTTTCATCCTTTTTCCTGACAGCAGCCACTAATGGATGGTCAGAGAGAGAGAGAGAGAGTCCCTAGGCCTGTGCCTGACAGTGTGTGTGTCTTAATTTCAGAGGAATCCGTCTGTGTCCTGGGGGATGATAGTTGTATGTCTGCAGGGTGTGGCATCTGTGTTCAAATACAGTGGTATGGGATTGTTTTATATGACTCTTCTCTTTGAATTCTGCTGAAGAAGATAAGACTAGTTTCAACAAAAAATATTATTACAGTGATCTCTAAAATCATTAGTAAACATAAAATGATTCCTAGCCAATGCCACAGGATGCACTTTACTGTGTTTTTATATGAAGTCATCTTGTAGGCTGTTAAAATTGTGAAGAAGTAAAATGAATGTCTGTTACCTTTTGTTCTGTTTTTACTATGTAGCTGCCACTGAGAAAAAAATTGATATAGAAGCCATCAAGGAAAAGGTAAAGAATGCAAAGAAGAAGAAATTAGGAGCACTTCCTGCAGAAGAAGTCAAGTTAAAAATGGCTGCAGATGAAAAGACAAAAAAGAAAAAAAAGTAATTCAACACCCAAGGTGCTCACTTTTCTCCCCTGATAATGAACATTTTCACACTTGGAAGATTGAAGACTTCTTACTGTCAGTTGAATCTGGACCACAAAAGTCTGGGTAGAAAGATCATTCTCTTTTCCTAAGTACAGTTTAATTAGTGGACCTATAGCAGTTGTGAAGACTTGCCAAGGTTAGTGAAGAAAACCTGTGCCACTATGTTGTTTGAGAAAGTCAGAGAGTGTATTTGGATAATATCCATCTACCTAAAGCTAATGTTCCCTAATAGAAACATTTAGGAGTTTGATGCAGTGTTCCATGTTAGGGTCAAAGAACTCTAGGAAGGTGAAGTTCAAGGTAAGTCTTCTGTGAAAGACTACCAACCTATATGCAGACTCAGTTGTGGTGATAACTTTTGCTAAATGGGCAGGATTGATTACTACTATGTTATGCTTTTGTTTCTGTAAAAGCTGGTTATTTTTGTGTCTTGTCCTGATGTTAATAAACTATTTTGATATATTGTTCTTAAATCCCTTAATTTGCCGTCTACTACACAACCTCAATCTTGTTTTCCAGGAAACAAACTCAGAGCGTCACATGGGAATTAGACAGACCATAATCTGCATTGAATACCATTAATAAACTGTCATTTATTAGCATTATCCTGATAGAGTTTTGGACAGAATGTTGTACAAAGTGTCTTTCCACATGCACTGTGCTGCTGGGAAAGTATAAAGTCATGTTATCTACCTTTACATAAATATATTCTGGATTTATTTCCTGCTTGCAAGAAAGTCTTAGAAAAACTGTGATAATTTTTGGTGGGTTTTTTTTTTGAGGCCCTTCGCCTGTTTTAAAGGAAGTTTAGGGGTTTGTAAGTTTCCTGAAAATGCAAAATGTCAAGAAACAAAGTGCACTGGCAGAGCAGCTGTTGCTTATTTCATAGGTCTGAGGTCGAAGATGGAAATGTAATGATGAGGAGAAGGTAGAGCTACACTAGTTGCATGACTGTGTTAGAGTGCTTTTACCAGGGTCTGGAGTTTTGGTGCCCTGTACATACCATGGAAGGGGTTATGTTGGAATGGTGCAGCTCACTGCTTTTAGGTTTAGTAACCTTTGATTTGTAGCTAGGAAATGAACACACCTCCATTCCCTTTTTTATCTTCCATTTCTAAATAAGAATTTAGCACATATCTGGTTGGAGAGCCAGCACATGTGTGTGCTGAAACACAGCTGAGGTGCTTGCCCTGCAGGGCAAGAACCTGATCTAGCAGTGAAAGTCCTCTACAAAAAAGTGTTTTCCAGCTGCATCCACTAACTGCTTGGTTGCCTGAGCACCAGAGCAGGAAAACATAGCTGAACCTAGTGGCAGCCTAGCTTTAAGTTCTACTTACTTCCATGGAAATGTCCTTTTTCAATGTAGGACCCACAGCTGAGTCATGGATGGAGCTTTTATGTCAAATCCCTATCTGTAGTAAAATTCTTAGCAGACCTCAGGAAATCTTGTCCTGTTGCTCTCGGGTGGGAAGGTGTCACATCATGCTTAATCTTTGTCAGTTGTTGACAGGTTTCCAGGATTGTTTGTTGGACATTTATTTACTCAGACTGGAAAATCAAGGTAAGTAAAACCAAAGGATTTGTCTGCCCAAGGACCCATATCGGATTGCAGGGTTCACTGTTGGTGCTTTGTGTATGTGTTTTCTGAGAGAGTATGGCTCTACAGTTAGAGCACTTGTATACAAAGTAAAGAATAAAGTTGATTTGGAGGGGTGAAAAAGGGTGGGATTTTTGTATTTTCAGAACAGCTCAAACTACTGCAAATTATCTCCTTAAACTTTTAGAGGTTTACGGGCTTGCAAGAATGTACCTGAAGTCTGCATTTATATATCAGTGTTTTGTATTTATCATATGGCATTCACAGACTCAAGTGTGGACAACTCAAAGTGGTTTGATTATCCAGATCTGAATACCTGGAGTTCTGGATGTCTTTAAAATGACAAAGGTACTTGTTTGCCTTTGCCTTCTTGACTTTCAGGCTTTTTTGTTTGAAAGATGCCACAGTTGTAAAGTTTGGGGGTTTAATTGCCTTAAGCCCCAGTGATTTAGGGTTTTTAATGAAGCTTTTTCTATGATATGTCCTAACAGCTGCTGAAGTAGAGAGTTAAGTGAAAGTGCTGTGAATGTTTTGAACTTCAAGGGCTCTGAGCTCCTTCAGTTTGTTCTCCTGGAAACCATGCATAGATTAAACTAAGCAGGGGAGAATTCTTGCTGAGCTTATTTTAAACTCCCTGGACACAGCAGTGTACACTATTGCCCTTCCTGCATTCCTCTTTGCAGTAGTAGGATCTAACTGCACATGGCTTCAGCAGGGCAAACATTGTGCTGGACTCCGTGCTGGTGTGGGAGCCCTGCGCAAGAAACTCACAGTCAGGGCTGGGCCCATGTGCCGCTTGCAGGCAGGTTTTAGGTGGCACTTGGCAGGAAATGGGTGCTTGAGGCTTGAAGTGTGGGTTTCACACAAGAGTGGTAAGAAGATGTGGGGAGGAAAGCAGCTGGTTTTTCACACAGACCAATGACATTGCTTAGAAATGGGAACTGCATTTTATTATACATCCTACTCTGCCCAGTTTGAGACAGAACTGAGCTTGGCTTGCTCGTAAGTAGGCCAGTGTGGGTGCTGGGACCCTAGTCACTAGTGTGGAAAAGAAACCACTTACTTGCTGTCTGTGTGATGTCTTGGCTCCAGGAGCCTACAAACTGAATACAAAGGGCAAAATGAAGAATTCTGTCCCCAGTCGTATTTGCACTTTTAAAAATTATTTGTCCAGGGAATGCTATGATGCTGAAACAATTCTGCTGCAAGCAGGTAACTACCTGGAAGAGTAGTGTGAGAAATGATGGCTCTCGGTTCCAGTGCTTTCAGTTAAAATCCACACCAGTAGTGAGGTCAGGAGTGGGTATGCAGAAATCCTGACAGGTACTGCGGGGACAGTACCCTGGAAATGAAGGGGTGAGGGAACTTCCTAGACTCCTCTACAGCAGTGTGTGTCAGTGCCCTGCAGAGGGACCTGGTGCAGAGGCTTCCAAACAGATACGGATTGCTGTGAGTTTGTGCTGCTCTGCTCCTGCCAGGCTCTGCTTCCTCTGAGCAACTGCAGTCTGTAGACAACATGCCCAGCTGAACACAGCAGTTGTTCCTGTTGCTATCTCCTTGCTCCAGATGTGCAGGTTCCAGGAGACTCATTCCTTGGCAGCTGTTGAACCAAAGGCACCTCTATGGGTACAGTGTGCTTTTATCTGGAGTTCTATCTTTCCCAGCATGGTCAGGTTGGAGCTGAGTGTGGGGCTATTTTGTGCACCAGCAGTTAAGCTTCAGCTCATGTTACAAATACACAGGATTGCGAGACATGAGAAGCAGGAAGTAACAGTTTCTTGCTTGCAACAATTTATTGTTTTAAATAGCCTCTTCTCAGAAAAAAACAAAACAGGAAAGATTGCAGTGATACTGCAATCACTGTAATCTGCAATTACTGCAACCATGTAAACATAGATGAAACTGTCTTGGCACAGAGTTTTTAAGAACAAATTCTAAGTGAAGTATCAATGGCCCCAGTGCACTGTGAGACTGGGAAAAGGATGCAAATACCAGAGCTCACAGGGATCCAAAAATTCTTTCAAACACCCCATTTAAAGGATACAGGCTACTCTGCATCTTGCTGGAGGAGCATCCAAAAAAGAGTACAATAGGAATAGGTGTGTGCTCTGGGGCTCAGCTCAGCTGGGACTGGGGCCAGCTCCTGGGCAGGACACTCTCCAGCTCTTCCTAAGAAAGTGTGCTGGGCAGTGCCTGCACCTCAGTGTGCTGCCTGGACAGTGTGCCCCCTTACCCACTGAAATCACACACACACTGCTCCAGTGAAAAAATTCATGGGTAATTTTAAACCAGCTGCTGGTTCTGAGGAATGAGAAAGCTCCTTATAAGCTCTCATAGCCGCTGCCTGTAACAAAGATGGTATTTCTGTACTTTTAAATCACCTGTGAATGCAAACAGTGTCTCTGCTGAACTTTGTGCTACCAATAATTTATGTACAGACTGTGGTCTTCTACATTTGTATCACCCATTGGCGGGCTACAGACCAGTATTTTGGTAGGAGCCAGGTGGCCAGAATTGTCAGTATAAGTAGTAATGGCCTTAAAACAGTAACAGCGATGCAGTACTCATCACATGCAGGTCTGTCCCATTCTGGATGCCACTTGGAATCATCTGTAAACAAAACAATTCACTTGTTTTTAAGGGTAACTGCATCAAGGGCAACAAATGGAAGCAGTAATTTGGTGGTACTTACAAATGACTTTGTCACGCTCTGCATTTCCTGGAAAGAGAGAAACAAAGTGAACATAAGCAGACTTACAGGTTAGAAACGATTTGACTCTAAGCAAAAGGGAATGAAGTGTGGCTTTCGCCCCATGCCTTGTGTTTAACATCTTCAGCCTGCAGCTAGCAGCCCTGTGAACCTGGGACCACCTCACGTTCCTGTGGTGCTGATGTTTTAACACCACCTTCCCACTCCTTTAGTTCACCCAAGGTTGAGTACTGGAGAAAAGTGTGACCATACTCCCCAGGCAGATGTCCATAGCACAGTGCCCTGTCCTTATGGGAATTGCAGAAGCTCTCCTTCCCTCCAGACTCCATGCAGCCATTTCAAAGCCAAGTGCAGGCGAGTCAGGTAGGCTGCCAAGGACTCAGGCTGAGCACCACATCCCCGTGAAAGGCTCTTGCATGTCAGCCTTACTCTCTCCTGTTCTTAGGGGAAAGCAGATGCCCTGGCCAATGTTCACTGAAGCAAGCAGCTTTGGCAGTGCCATGGCAGCTCTCCCCACCCACAGAGGCACGGCAGGAGCAAGGCTTACTTGGATCTGCACCAGTTCAAGCCACAGCTCATGCCTCAGCTAATAAACTGGAGCCTCCAGGAGAGGACATGTATCCAATTCTCTGCTTCCTATTTTGGCAAGCAGTAACTTCTGGCAGGGATAATAGCACCTTAATTGCGGCCACCACATCTCCTGTATCATACCCTCCAGCAGCTGAAGAGCAGACCCCATCCCGTCACTCCCCAGGAGAGAAAACAGGCTCTTTCTGCCCTCCTCCCCTCTCTTTGTGCATCAGTGCTCACTCGGCTTCTGACTGCAGTTTTTCAGGCCGTGCCTGCCTCCTGTCGGTATCTTCTGTGTGATCTTTCCCTTTCTACATGTGTTTGGTTGTCTGAACAAAACAATTCACTTGTTTTCAAGTGTAACTGCATCAAGGGCAACAAATGGAAGTCATCATCTGTGCCTGGGGATGAGGACTGGTTGTCTTCTACTTACGACACAGATTGCTGGCACACTGGTCGCCACTGCAGTCACTGCACGGTACTCCGGTCTTGTATGGGTGCACTGGGAAATTCCCACTGCAAAGGAAAGTAACACTGCTCTTCTCAAACAGCACTTGGGAGGAGAGCATTAATACGCAATGCTAATTAGTTTTTAACCCGAGTTTTGCTTCACTTCTGTTGAGTGAGTGATGAGTTTTGGACAGTCCTGTCTGAATGCCGTGTGCCCAAGACATGCAGTGAAGTAGAAGACATTAAGTGTAAAGTGGCACCCTGTTGTTTAGGAACCTGGAGACAACAGTATTGCAAACTTGGAAATTAAAGCCGTCTCAAAGCTGGCTAATTTATATGCTCTGTGGGCTCTCAAAGCTGGCTCTAGCTACGGAAACAGGAGCAGGTTCAGTTACTGCCTATGGGTGTGTGTATTCAGTCTTGAAAAGGAATATCTGGTGCTGGAGAATCTCTCATAGGTAGTGATTTCATTCATTTCTTGGGAAATATTTTAGGAGTGATGTGGGTCTCCCTCCTACCTCTGCCAGTGGTGTGAGTAGCACAAACTACCTCTGCCCAGGCTCTTGGCTTGGTATTACCTGCCCACATCTGATCCTGCACAGCTCAGTGCTTCTCTTTGCTTGCTGCATGGCCAAAGCAATATTTACAGCATGCCTCAAACCGCCCATAAACACAGAAAGAGGGATTTTGTAAGCATGCAATCTCAGCAGTGCTAAACTTCATGGTAAAACCTTGTTACTTTCAGCAAGGTGAGGCTTTCATTGCTTGGTCTAAGCTGAAGAGTATATTCACTTAGAAACTGAAATTGTGTATGCATCTTGCTTGGGCCCTCGGCAGAGTTGAAAAGAGTTAAGAATTGGTTAAAAAAAGAACTGAAGTTGCTGCTTCACAAAAGCAACAGCTGGATGTGACATTACCCCACTTCTTAGTGTGCAACAGCCCGTTTGCAGTGTCCTCACCCAGCAGGGAAGGGCCCAGCTTTAAAGCCCTGCCTAGAGCCCCCTGCCTGCCCAGGTAGCACTCTGTCTGCTTTGCTGGGTGCTGGTGAGGGCACCACTCCTCTTCCTCATGGGGTCCTTGCCAACACAGGGCAAACGATCCCATTTGATTTTGGTCCTCTGCACAACACGTTTGGGTGTGGGGCTTCTGGAGAGAACAGCAGCTGCGTCATTTCAAGGTATCTGGTCAGGGTACATATTCTTCCAGGGATGAAGCATGAGCAAAAGGAATGCCAAACTTGCTCGAGTTCATGGTTCACCTGGCCTTGGCCCAACATAGTATCCATGTAAAGCTTTAAAGCTGTATTTAGACTGTGGTGGCATTAATTAGCAGGAGAAGGGTAAAACTCATCCATCCTAGCTGGATATCCTACTGACTATGTGTATGAAGGACCTCTGGATGAAATATTGTGTTGAGCAGACCCAGCCTCATGAGCACCCCACTGCCACTAAGACTGCAACTGCAAGCATTGCACACTTCAATATTTATTTGAACTAGGGGCTTAATTCTGCAGGCATGTGTTGGAATATATTCAGACTTTGGGCTTGCACCTTGGCAACTGTATTTTCATGCCAGCATCTTGTGTTTTACCCTTGCTACCAGTCCCACTGCTTTTTGGCTCCAATACATAGCCCTCATCTAGGAAAAACAAAAAGCTGCTTGGACAGAAGCGTACCTCTTTCTCTATTCTGGGGCTCATTTCCGCCCACAAATGACAGGAATGTCTAATAAAGTTGCATGCTATGGGAGGAAAGAGATAGGACCCAAACCCTGTGGAATATTCATAATGAAAAGCCTTACGCCGGCGCATAGTTGCAGACAAAGTGTGCTGCGTTGACTATGGAGATGTATGCCACGCTGGGACAGAAGTGGACAGCACAACCAACCTTGTAGCTTGTAGCCCAAACAACCTGCAAAGACAAATGGGTACACCAGTGACAAAGGCTTTACTTCAGCATCTGAAGTGTTAGAAGACCTGCAATCCTCCTCTGGGTTCTGACATACTGAGGAGCAGTCCTTGGGCAGACTTCATGGGGAAAAGCAGCAGTGATGGACCTCAAAATCACAGCTTGTTTGTAAAAATGACTGATTGCTTTATCTCTTTTACCACATATTTGTTAAATGAAGTGCAAAGAAAGAATAACTGGCTGTAAGCGGTTGACTTCCTTTCTTGCCAAGGAGAAGGTGAAGTTCATCTCCTGTGCTTCAAGCTAATCCATTAGCTTTCTGTCTTTCCTGCTGGGAAGATCAGCTCAAACCTGTGCAGAAAAGGCTGCATGATCTGCTACAGTTCCCTGAGGGCCAATTTCTCCAGTACTAAATCCTGTGGGGATGTATATGCAAATTGCCAAAAGGCACTAGTGTTATGGAAGGAGCAGGCAGAAGAATTGCATCATCTAATGATCCTGTCCACCAGAAGCCTTTCTGTGCTGTCCAGCATCCTATATCCAGCTCAAAGATCACAGTACAGCTAAATGCTGCAGTCCTGGAAAAATAAATCCCATGAGAGGAGCAGAGGGGAGACAAGAGCACAGTGGCACCAGAGTGCGATACAACAGCAGCAATGACTATGTGAGCAGTATGGACAGATCCTGGCAGCACAGGAGAGAAACACATTCGTGCCTACATTGACTTGAAGGGGAGGCCTGGCCCTTCCTGGCTTTGCTTGTTTGATGCCAGCTCTGGGAAGAGGTGACAATTCTCAGGCTCCTGAGGGTGTTCTCAGGGCAGTGACAGAGCAGAGGTTGCTCCTGACACCAGTCATAGACAACTGCATCCCTGAGGACTGCCAAGGACTGAATCATAGGACCTTCCCCAGTCCAGGTGGCCACGGGCTGAGGCATATGCTGGGGACAAGGCTGTGGGAACTGTAGTAACTGTGCCCAGAAAAAATCCGCTTCTCCACACCTGGGAAGGAGGAAGAGGAGAAATGCAATGCCTACCTGTGTATAGTGGCCACATGTTGCTGTGCACTTATTGGTGTAATAATTGTATGCCTTGACCTCACTGTGCCAAGAGGTGATTGCTGCTTCTGCAGTAAAGGCAGAGAGTGAGCCAGTCCAGATGTTTTCTCCAACAGAGGTAAATTTGGGGTGAGCTTGCCCTGGCTTTTTGAGATACGTATTATGCATAAACAGGCATTTCTTTGCCCAAGCTTTTGCAGTCTTTGCCAAATCCGGATCCCAACTCTGCAAAACAAACAGTCAAAAATAACTTTGGTATATTATTTATGCAGTAATCCAAAGTAACTTTCAGGAAAAGCTGTGTCTCAGTAACATATGTGCTTTGGGTTCATTTGGGTTTTGCTTCTGCTGAGACTCACAGGGTAAGTGGTAAATTGGCTTGTAAGTTCATTTCTGAATTGAACTTAGTTACTCACTAAACCTGAGGAATTTTTTGGGGCAGTGGGTGATCTTGGCTGACTACTTTGTTGGACACCAAGAGCTGTATGTCAGCCAAACACAATATTTGGGGCAAAATGTGCATTTGAAGGCTGTGCTGGCCATGAGAGAACATGAATGCAAACTGAACAGTGAATTAACATTAAATCTGGAGATTGAGGGTTATGCTCACCATACCAATGAGGCAGGAGCCTCGTGCAGCCTCATGCATTAAGGCCACTGCTTGCAGGTCAGTTCACAAGCACACTGGGATTCCGGGGACAGTTTAAACTCAGCCCCTTGGTTAGCATCTTTGTGTTTGGTGCCTTCAAATGCTAGTGATGAATTGATATTTGTGGAATGACTCATTCCCTTGCTATTCAATCCTACAGAAAGTGGTGATTTAAGCAACTGAGTTATAGAAATGCCTTTTGTTTGCACTAGAGGTGGTGTCTGTTCTTGCTGGGTTTTCTTGTGTACACAACTGAACTGAGCTATTAGAGCATTGCACCTCCTGGAAGATACAGTACCAGAAGTGTATGCCTAGTTGTACTTGGTATCATGTAAATAAAGTTTTCAGCACTGCTGGACTAATTTGAACATTTCTTTTTTAAAATGTTTTTTTATTGGCCCTTTTCTAAATGAATTAAAGTATCTCATTTGCTTCTGCAAGCAAGAGAACCACCAGAGTACTAGTTTTGAACAGATTAGTAGCAGTGCCAAAGGAAAAGGCAGTTGTTAGATTTTATGACTATGTTTTACCTAAATAACTTTTCTGGACCATAGGTAAGTCCAAAACTGCATGTATTGTTTATGTTACCAAGTAGTAATTAAAAATGGGAAGATCACATCAAGTGTGAGACTTGAAAATATGCTGTAACCTCTGTCATCCATTTCTTCCTATGGCTAACATTTGTGGGGGGTATATTTCCCCACTGTGGTGAGTTGCCCCTGGCTAATGCCAAGTGCCTACAAAAGCCTCTCTATCACAGCTCTCTTCAACTGGGCAGGAAAGAGAAAATAGAACAAAAGGCTTGTGGGTCAAGAGAAGGACAAGGAGTGATCACTCACCAGTTGTCCTTGGCTGTCCTAGTGCAGGCTTCACACTGGATCAGACTCTGGGCATCTACCTGCTACAGTGTGGTGTCGTCCACGGGCTGCAGGTGGATTTCTGTGCTACCATGGACCTCCTTCAGCATGGCCTTCCCCACAGGCTGCAGGGGAATCTCTGCTCCACTGCCTGGAGCACCTCCCCCCTCTCCTTCTCCACTGACCTTAGTGTCTGTATGGGCAGTTCCTCTCACATGTTCTCACTTCCCTCTGGCTGAAATTGCTTGTGCATAGTCACTTTTTCCTTTCTGAAGTGTGTTATCCCAGAGTCACTACCACAGTGGCTGATGGGCTCAGCCTTGGCCAACAGCAGGCACACTTTGGAGCTGCTGGCATTGGCTCCACTGGACATGGGGGAAGCTCCTGGCAGCTTGTCACAGAAGTCACTCCCATAGCCTCCCTGCTACCAAACCCTTGCCACACAAACCAAATACACCCACAAAACTAACACATAAATCATTTGTCTAGGACCTGGTATATCCAATTTTAAAGGCAAACTTGGGGCAGGGGTCTTATTTCAAGTGAGCGGTTAGTATTTCCTCTGATGATAACTTGTAAGTACAATGAACAAAACTGGATCTGGCATTCCAGCCCTGGAAGATAAAACTTCTGCAACTTAAGACAAAAGTTGCAATTTGCATCTTGACAATGCTCTGAGATCAGAAGAAGATCATGATGAAAGATGTATGACAGTGGTAGATGCACTTTAGTGCTTCATGGCCTTTTCATGTTCACATTCTGCTTTTTAGGAGTCCACACATCTCTTTTCTCCTTGATCCTATTATGGTATTGAGTTTAAAGTTCCATACAGGTATACATGATAATAAGTTTAAAGGTCAATTAATAAGTTTAAATACACTTTCTGTTTTGGGGTGAATACTTAAACTGGCTGACAATTGAAAAGCAGCACACAGGAGCTGATAGTTCAGAATGATCTTTAGTTTAACTGTAGTTATACTCCTTATTTGCTTATAATACTACATTTATGCAAAAAGATTGGATTAAATGGCATGGGAAAAAATGCACAGGACAGGGAGATCTGCATGCAGCTATCACTGCTGTTGGAGGAAATAGTACTTTAAATTGTTTTCTCCTCATGAACTATTTCTCAGTTTTGGTTTTATAACTAGTTGCTTGCTGATTTAAGGAGGAAAAGATGCATGTATAATATGCAAAAATGATGTGAGGCAGCAGTAAGTCAAAGGAGACTGTTGCGGTGAAACTCCTTCTGCTGGTTTTGAGGAGTCTTAGAACAGTCTTAAGAAGTGCTTTGAGTGAATGATAAAGGGCTCAAATTTGTCAGTAAAACCAATTTTAGATCAACATTCTAATTTTATAAGGAATGTATTGCAAATATCGATGGTTGGGCTTTCTTCTTGCAGTTAAAGGAGTTTTCTGTCTTGTATGTTCTTTTAAAAACTATTTGGTCAAAAGATGGAAATGCCCTAATTTCACAGTCTTAATTTTCATGTATCTAGGTGGATAATTGTTTACAGCAAACAGAAGTTCCCTGGGAAATCAAGCAACCATCTTCTTTTCCTTCTTTTTGAAGTGCTTTTGAAGTGCCACTGAAAAATGAAGAACGACACTGTTTTCAATTCCATAATGGATTTTAGCATGTATTGCTCTGCTTAATCCACACAAATTGTTCCTGGGAGAGGTCATATTTAAGACTAGGATTTTTGAATTATTTTAAAAGAAACCATGATTTAGTTCTTGGTTTAGGTGTATTTATTTGCTTTCTGTTTCTTAAGCTGCCTTTTTTTTTTTTTTTCAGAATTCAGCTCTTTACTTTTTCAGAAGAAGAAATTAGGCACAGTTTAAAAAGATGCGTACTGCTCTTTTAAGACATCCAAGCAAGATTTGATTAGTGTAGGGCCAGCAAAGCAAAGCATAAAAGTCTGAAGCAACATGCGCTAGAAGTTCAGGATGCCCAGACGGAGAAAGAAGAAACAGATGCATCTAGGAGACAAACTAAATCGCTTCCTGTCAGGTTTGCAACTCGAGCATGATCACTGTCACTTACCCATCCCTAATGGGCACTCAGCTTTCAGTGTTTCACAAGGAGAAATGGAAAATGAACCTTTTTATCTGGTTTTTTTTTTTTTTTTAAACTTCTGTTGGGGTGTTGCTAATTACAGAAGTGGTTGTGTTTTCTTCTGGGGCTCGGTGCTTTTCGGCTTCCCCTGCAGCCACAGCACTAGGAACAGCTGCTCTGCTGGCTCAGCTCCTGAGAGCCTCGCAGAGAGTGCCCAGAGAGAGCTCTCCAGCGCTGTTTGGCAACGGCTCTGCCCCTGCCGACTCAAGTATAAAGGTTGTGCTCAGGTCTGCCCATAAATCACACCTCAGGCTGTTGAGCTGTCTGAGGTGCCTTGGAACGAGGAGGCTTTTCACAGTCAGTCAGGCAAGACTATACACGTAGCCGATTGTATAAATCCACCTGATAATCAGAGCCTTTTTTCTCTGTTTAAAAAGCAATGACACAAGGAGGGTAGATTTTTTTCCTTATTTTTTTGCATTTGAATCAAAACAATATCTGAGAATCATAAACACCATCACAATGCTACACACGTGTACACAAGCAAGATCCCTTACCATGTAGAGCATGTTGCTGGCTGATGGTTTCACTCCAGACCGGAATCTGTTGTGGCTCTGCACACATTCCTCGATAAACTTTGGATCTCCAATATTAGGCAATGTCGATGGTTCATAGGAGTCCGAGATGTCACACAAGTGCAGTAATGCCAGCACAAAAGCAAACAATCTGCTGGTCATGCTCCTCAGCACCTGGTCTCGCAGCTGTAAAAGCAGAAAGCTTCACCCGAATGAGGGAGGTTTCAGCTCCTCCAGCAGCATTCGGCTCGAGGCTTGTGGGCTGGACTGGTCACCATGGTGACTGAGCGTGGGGTTAGGCACAGGAAGCGAGTCACACTGCAAGATGGTTGGTTGCTGGGGGAGCTCGTGTCAGGGCTGGGGCAGCCTTGTCTCAGACTTTTCTTTCTTCCTTCTTTCTTTAATTGTGCTGGGCAAGCTCCTTTCCTGCCCTGTGGGCTGTGTTGTTGTTCCTTTGGGCCCGGTCATCCCATCCATAGCAATTGCTATGGACTGCAGAAATGTTTTGGACAAATGTTCTGCTTTTAATGGAAAGAGGCTGTTGCTCGGAGCCAAATCGCTCTGGTGAATACTTTATTTCAACTATAGCTTTCACCACAGCACAGTGAACAGTGACTTTGGTGGTTGTAAGGCTGAAGTGTTCAAGGTTAATGACTCAAACTAATGGGACATCTGCGAAAGCGCAGGGGCTTTGCCCAGCCCGGGTTCGCACTCCCAAACAAAGGGGAGGGGATGAATTTTTGGATGTGTGGTGACCAAACCTCTGATCTGCATAACAACATCCCAGGAGCAGAGGGGTCGAGCACACCCCACCC